CTGGGGAAAAAGTTTATAAACAGCAAAAAAAAAATCACAAAGTACCGGGACTTGCAAATTGAAGTTGAGCAATTGTAATTGGAGCCCTTGGAGCAATACCTAAAGGGCTACTTCGCGATTTGGAAATTTTAAATTTATCAGACTTGAACATTCTGATCCTACAAAAAACCACCCTACTTGGAACAGCTTATAACCTCCGATGTTACCTTAACAGTTCCTAGGTCCTTGGTTAGGACTCGAGCTGTTGAGGTACCAACCAGCCCCAAAGGCTGTGAATCTCACCAAAGATTAACCACGCAATAATAATAATACAACCTCCCGTCCTAATCTAAGGGATGAGTCTCTAAACTTGGCAACTTTAAGACCTGCGGAATTCTGGGAATTGAAGTCCACAAGTGTAAAAGCTGCTGAGTTTGGAGACCCCTGATGTAAGGTGACCACAATTTCTCTGCTCGTCACAGTCTTTCAGTTCTAATGGGAAATATATACTGTATTTTTCAGAGCAAAAGACACTCCGAAGTGTAAGACACACCTAGCTTTTGGGGAGGAAAATAAGGAGGAAAAAATCTGCCTCCCAGAAATTTTCCTCCTTGCAGCAAACGGCAAACAGCCTGTTTCAGTTTCAGAACAGCCTGATTAGCACAAGCAGCTGGTTGTCTGCAGGGAGTGCCATAGTGTGCTCCATTTTTCGCCCGTTCTGGGCGGCAGGGATAAGAATGGGCAGAAAAATGGGGTGCACAGAGGCCAAAAAAGGGGGCACGCAGAGGCCAAAAATGGGATGCGGCGGAGGAAAATGGGGCGCACGGAGGCAGAAAATGGCAACGGCAATCCCTGCACCCTGAAACAGCTGATGGTCAGGAGGCAGATCCAACCAACAATCAGCTGCTTGTGCTAATCAGGCTGTGCTGAAGCTGAAACTGAAACAAGCTGTTTGCTACAAGGAAGCGAATTGCTGGGAGGCAGAGGCCAAAGGGTGGGGGTCAGCGGGTGGGCGGGGCAACATTCGGTATACAAGACACACCCAAATTTTCACCCTCTTTTAGGGGAGGGAGTGCGCCTTACACTCCGAAAAACATGGTATATTTCTTTTTTGTGCTAGTGTTCAGAGTGGAGAATGCCCAGAATTCATCCTCCATCATCTGTCCTAATCTGGTCTGCGCGTGAAGGTGCCAAGGTTCATACCACTGCTTGTCAGCGGTGAAGTAAATTGCTTCCTCCTCTTCTTCGGTACGGTAAGCAGCAGGGCAACTGGACACGGAGAGGAGGTCAGGGTCCGCAGAGTGCAGAGTCGCCTGCGTGTGCGCAGCGTGGGGCGTTTGTGCTGTATGTTGCAACTGAGGCGATGACGGCACCACATTTCGCCTGGAGCGATACACGCTGCTACTCCGCGCTAAGGTGCTGGTTTTCACAGCAGACCCTGAGAATAACAGAAAGAAATAGGTTCAGAAGCCCGTTCATGAGTCCAGCTTCCCTACCAAAACATTACTCTGCAAAGACAAAAAAATCCCCTGGAAAACCCTTTCTTTATAAAGGTTTTGTTTGTTTTTCCTTCCTAATCATTTTCTTTTAATGACCCCATAATTCCTTGTGGGGTGGAGCCTGGGCAGATGAGTGGAGCTAGCAGAGTGTTTTAGTGGCCGGATGACCTTCCTGTCGCCCACACGGAGTTTTGTTCAGCAGATATATATCATTGTGCCCAGAGAGAGAAATATCTGTCTCTACCTAGGATTGAACTCACAGCCTCCTGATTGCGAGGTGAGAGCTCCCCCTTTAGGCCAATGCACCACGCCTTTTCTCCCCCTTCCTAATGCTCTTCTTTAAAATACAGCAGCAGATGAGACAGACATGGTTACCGCTTAGTACAGGAGTCAGCAACTTGTGGCTCTGGAGCCGCATGTGGCTATTTCATCCCTCTGCTGCAGCTCCCTGTCACCGGTCGAATCCACAATTGATAGGGCTTTCGCTTAGGACAGATAGAGGAACAAGGATGCTGTGCTAGGAGGAGACTCTATGGTGGGGGAACCAGACTTCCGGTCGGCTCTAGAATTGAATGGGGGCTGCCGGTTAGGACCTTTGTGGCTCTTTGAGTCTTTAAGGTTGCCAACCACTGGCCTAGTAAGAGAAGATTTAGATTTATTCAGTTTGTATGCCGCCCTATTCCCGAGAAACTCAAGGCCGCCTGACTCAAACATTTAACCAAAACCAACACAGTCCCTTTCCATTAAACCCAAAAGAAGAGTCTCGGGTTTTCTGTTTATGTTCACTTTAAGAATTTTCTGCATTAAAGGTATTATAATCTTGGAGGTGGGGAGGGGCATTTTGAACGTTGTTGTTGTATATGTTGAGGGCAACAAGACTATATGTACAGAAATGGAAGGTCACCTCGATGAACATGAACAAATGGCTGCAAAAATGGACGGAGTTAGCAGAGATGGCTAAATTGACTGCCTTGATCGAAGAAGAAGAAAATGCAAATACTTTTATTTCCACTTGGAAACCACTTCTGGACTTTGTGCTTGAGGTGGGGGGAAAAAATGAAACTCTGACTCTGGGTTTTTACCCATTAGAAAGATTTGTTGTGGTAGAAGTGGCTACTTTATACTATTATGGAAAAGTCAAATGTTGAGGTTTTGAGGTTAATGCCTTATTAAATCAACTGAGTCTAAAAAAGCGGGAAGCCACACCTCCGAGGCTATGATGTCACTTTTGGTAGACTCCGTCCTATCGGATACTCACAAGAGTTAATTCATGCACGGCTGTTGTCTCCACCAACTTTAAAGAATACAAATACTTTTATTTCCACTTGGAAACCACTTCTGAACTTTGTGCTTTGAGAATACAAATACTTTTATTTCCACTTGGAAACCACTTATGAACTTTGTGCTTGAGGTGGGGGGGAAATGAAACTCTGACTCTGAGTTTTACCGATTAGAAAGATATGTTGTTG